AATAATAATAATAATATCCCGCACCATCTGGCAGCCAGGCCACTCTGGGCGACTAACAACAGCAAGACAAACAACACAATATTAAAACACAATAAGAATAAAATAATACAAACATTCAACAGATACAACAACCAGAAGGATAAATTAAAACAAATGGCTATATAGATGGTTGAAAGGATGGCAAAAAGGATGATAAAAGGGAAGCAGAGATATCAGCAATTTAATGCTCATATTGGGAAAGCCTGATGGAAGAGTCAAGTTTTCAATGCTTGTTTAAATCCATCCAATGAGGGTGCCAGGCGTATCTCCATGGGCAGATTGTTCCACAGGTGGTGGTGGGGGGCAACCACCGAGAAAGCCTGATTTCTTTCCCTCTGGGCCTCCTTCAAGGTCAAGGCCCTCCACCGTCCTGCCTGTGAAAAATGGATGTGGTGCCTTGCTTGATGACGATAATCTGTTCCAGCAAAATCGCTGTAGAACAAAATTGTTGTCAAGCAAAAGTAAAAAGCCCATTGAAATGCATTGAAAACTTCTTTAAGAAGTTCACTCAGCAAGATCCTTCAAACAGACAGCCACTCCAACTGTCTGTTCTGTCTTGGAGAGGACCATATCACAGAAAAGTGCATATCACTGCCAGAAACTCTCGAAACCAGCTATCTGAATCTGCCAACTTTGCCCTCAGATGTCCTTTTGGGAAAAACCTCTTAAGGCTTCAGAACATGCTGAGTTGGGCCCTTCAATTTGTTCTACAATATGTGCATCCTACAATAACCTCCTCTAGTAAATCAGCTTTACATCACATTGTGAGCCTCTAAGCTCTCTACATAAACCACCTCAGCTTTGCTGGCCGTGCCAGAACCAGTGCTATCCACTTTGTGAATCTCATAAGTGCTTATGATCCCCTTCTCAAAAGAAGAGGCACAAGATGACTAAGGAGACTCCATCAACATCAACCTCAGCAAGATCCTCCCTTACCTCAGCAGACACTTGTCTTCACTATCTCGCAACACCCTTTGAAGACTCACTCAGGCCCACCTATCAGTTTAGAGCAGAGGTGTCCAACCTTTCACCTTCCCTGGGCCACATTATAAGATGAAAATTTGGTTTGGGCTGCATGGGGGGGCAGCCCTAGCCGTCCTCCGCAGCCCCACTCCAAGCGCGCTTACCGGCAACTGCAATCTCAGACAGCAGAGCCTGCCAGCTTCGGCTCCGGCAGCTTTATGGGGCCGGGAGGGGGTCCACCTATTGACAGGGATGGCGCAATGCAGTCACGCAGGCACCCTATCCCCTCCCCTCCCACTCCTCCCTTCCTTCCCTCTCTCCCCCTCTACTGTTGTGACATGCCCCGGCCACATTCCGGCCACAAGCGCCGGCAGTGTAACTTGAAACTTCGGAATTTCTTTAAAAATAAAAAATTTGCACTGGGCTGCATTACAAGCTGACCTGGGCCGGATGCTGGACAAGCCTGGTTTAGAGGCTTCTGTGGCACAGGTCTGAACTACCACCTTTCTGGTTTCCCCATAGCTATAGGAAAGCCACCACGAATACTGGTTGGTATCAACCCTACCAGAGATGTTCAGTTTGATGCCTCATTTTCTTTGGACAAAATTATAGAATCTTCTCTCATTTCTTGGGTTCAGTTGTGATCCCCCACAAACCTCACTGCTGCCCTCACAGCCCTCTTTCAGCCTGGTTTTATTCACTAGTGTTATGTTGATCTTATGACTAGGATTTCCATGTTCTGTCTCGCCAGCCATTTATATAGTCAACACAACATATCCACAGTGACTAATCTTCCCATTCATACTTATCATGTTCTTTACACAAACAGAAGACATGTTCTTGATTCTGTTGCCGATCTCAGTAGACTTCCCCATCAACTCTAGGCGCTATTACCCTCATGTTGGTATTGATCTCTATTTGGATTCATCACTCTTCACACTGCTCTCATTCTGTGTAAGGTTCTCTTACCACAGCCTTGGATCATAATCCTCATCAGCATAATCTTGACACTGCCATCACCTTCATTAGCCAGATGAATTCCCAGACTTTGGCTCTACACTGTCACTATACCTATTGAGATCCTTATGGCAATCGCTATAGCCAACCCCTTTCCACAGCATCACACTCATCCCTCTTTCCTCAACTCATCAGTCATTAGCATCTCTGGATGCACATTTTCTACACCTCTTCAACTATTGCTTCCTTAAACTTCCCCAAACTCTGAACCTCTTCATCCGAGCCTATGGCTACCTCCATCACCCAGATTTACATATGCCCTGTGTAATGGCATGGTTGATCATCCACCTTTGCTATTCCTGCTGGAGGTAAAACATATACTAAGCACTGGCTGCAAACCTTCAACATAGCACTTGTACCCGGCCAAACGGTGAAGGTTCCAAGTCTTTTTGACAGAACATTCCATCTTTCCCTTAGGCAGTAGATGTACATACAGTCCTCACCATCCTCAGTTGTTGGACCATAACGACTTTTCCTTGGTATTCCTCAGGGTCTACCTTTTTTGCCAACTCACCTCTCTCAGCCTTCTGGAGATTTCTTGATTCCTTATTTTGCAAATTAAACTTTTCTCAATGGTTTTTGCTGCCCATACTTGCCAGGTTCAAAATACCAACATTTTACCTTCCAGTGTACATTCAAATTTACATTCACATTACCCTCAACCTCATCTCCAACATGCAGCCTGCTCACATGTAAACTCCAAAGTATCAAGAAAAGCCTGGAGATTTATCCCACAGCAGACATTCCTCTCCATGTGGAAGAGTCTTATTTGCATAGTACTAAGATACTGCATAGCATTTTAAAACACCAATCTTATGGATATCCTTGGATAAATGTTCTAGTCTACCACTATTGTGCAGAAACATGAATTAATAACATTCCTGTTGAAATCACTCTGTTTATGAATTTGCCAAAATCCTGTTGTTTGGCATAGTAAGCCTTATTTTAAAAAATCTTAGTTTTGCTCATACACCACACAACTTCCTCTTTATATTTCTTAATTATTCCCAGAGACAATATATGCTTTTTTGGGGAAAAAATCTTGGAAGGCCTCTATTTTTATGAGATTACACATTATACCTCTGTTGTTTTAAGGTTCCTACAATTTTGGAAAGAAGAAGTAATATTATTCACAGGCATACTTTTTATGCCCAGTGTGATAAGCTTGGTTATGAAAGTTCATAAAATGATTTATTGATGGGATTTGTAATCACAAAGTTAGCCAAAATGAATTCATCTTGGTTTCTGTGTGTGAGGTGAGAGTGGAAATTTCCAAAGTTGATTCCTAGTTGTGCCTCTGTACTGTCCAGCGTGGTCTTATCTTGTAACTAAGCAACCTGGCTAGTACGGGGTGAGGAAGACTAAACAACTTTCCCTGAGCCTCATGGGAACAAGAAAGGAGGAGATTCCAACACGAGGGAGACGGAAGATGGATGCCAACATACAGGACTCGGCATGGACTCTCTAATTCAAAGGACAGTAAGCCTGAGTTCTTCCTATTGAGAAAGTTTACTTTGGATTTTCCAGAAGCCTGATAGAATGTTGTTTTGATGATGGACACTAGGACTTATAGTTTGTTTTAAGATGTAGTTTTTCCTGAAGCCGGAGGGGAGGTCCGCCTCCCCTTTCTTTTTGTTAGCTAGATGTTTTATTATTTTCGTTTGTTTCAGAGGAATTCTATCTCCTGTCAATGGGGATGGGATTGGAAATTGTATATATGCTTTCCTATGCTTTACTTAAACTGATTTCTCATAGAACTATATTTTTCTAATAAAAGTAAATATGCTTAAGAGCCGGAAGTTAGCTTCTTGAATAGACACAAGCTGTTATAAATAATTGGCTTATCTAAATTGATGCATTTTACAAGGCCATGTATACTTAACGCTACCCATTTGGGTCCAACTGATTTATGAGTGCTAGAAGGATGGAATTCCCTGGTACTCACGTGTGTGGCTTGGTTCTCAATGAAATCGGTCAGACTTGGTGCCAGAGTAAATTTTAGCTACCCTAAGGCAAAACTTACGGACCCAGTTTGCCTGGTAAAGGAGCGATTTACTCTGAAACCTCTCTGCCCGTGGCTGAGCAATTTCTTAGGAAATTGACTTTGCTGACACCCAGAATTGTCCCTGGACTCCATATGAACCAACCTGTGATACTGCCAACCATCAACCAATCAATTACTTAGAAAAGACATTACATACACATTATCCTTTTATGCCTCATGAACAAAGGAATTCACCAAAATCAAGAGGCTATTTGTTTGTTATCAAGGTCTTCAGAAGTGTCAACCAATCTCTTATCTGAGACATGTGGAATGGGTCATGTCTACCATTAAACTAGCTTACAAATTAGTGAAGCAGCCACTTCCCCAGCAAACCTGCAGCCATTCCACTCATTCTGTGGAAGACATTGGTGGCCTTACTTAGAGGTATCCAGGTACCGGAAAGCTATAAGGCAGCAATGTGGTCCCAGCCTTTGTCAGGATATGCTGTACTTTCATCAGTTTTGGCAAAACATCCCACCAATCGGTACGATAGCTTGTAGATCATCAATATGTGTGACTCACAGAGAACACAAACACAGAGAATAGGTTGTTTGCTTGCAAATGTAGTTCTTTGGGTCGTCATCTGTGAACTCATACATTCCTCCCTCTTCTCATTCTGTCACTGCCTCCGGGCTCTCTTTTCTGCAGCAGAGGGGAACTGAGTGATTGTTGTTTGGCGTGTATCTGAGTATGTGTGAGAAAGATGAGAAATTCTTAAAGCTACAGAGCTCTGAAATATCCCGGCTCCTGTTTAGTGCAAGTACAGTGGTGCCTCGACTTATGAAAATCCCAATTTACGACCATTTCAAGTTACGACCACCTCTGACCACAAAATGTTGCTTTGACTTGTGGCTGGAGCTTCCAGTTACAAACAGAAAAAGGCAGGGAATTCACATTGCTAACCTTTGGCGGCGAAGAGGCTGCTTCTTTGTAGCTCTTTCGCCCCAACGGTTAGAGGGTGTGCGATTAGAGGAGGCTGCGGACTGCCTGGTAAGGTAAGGTGCTGCTTTCTGTTTTTTAAAAACTGTTCTGGGTGGGTTTTGCAGTGTGGTTTTGAGCTGGGTGGTGGGATTATGTTTCTATGCTGTGATGGATCTTGGGGGTTGTTTGCTTTTTGGTTTTCCCCCCTTTTCCAATGGGTCTTGGGGGTTTGTTAGCTTTTTGGGTTCCGCCCCTCCATTTCTGATGGGTCTTGCACAGTTTGCTTGCTTCCCTCCCCCTTCATCTGGAAAGGATTAATCGTATTTCTGGTGGGTCTTGCAGTGTTTTTTGTCTTTGTTTTTCTCTCTCTCTCTGTGTGATTTTTTTTCCTTCAGCCAGAATAAATTAATTACATTTCAACGCATTCCTATGGGAAATGGTGCTTTGACTTATGACCATTTCGAATTACGACTGGAGTTCTGGAACCAATTAAGTTTGTAAGTCGATGCACCACTGTATAAATCTATATTTTTCCACAGATGACCACAGTTACAGGTAAGCAACCTGCCCTTCTTGTTAAATATGTAGCAGTCCAGCAGGTTATGTATGAAAACCTAACTTTTTTGTTTACTTGGTTTCTTGCTGCTTATCAGTTAGTACCAGTTGAAGAGACATCATGTAGAGTTCTCTCCTCAATCATGGTGTTAACAGATTAAATTATTCTACTTTTTACTACTAACAAGCCCTTGTCTTCATGTAAAGTTTTTGAGCACATAATTTTGTGATTAAATGTTGTTACTTCTTTTTAAAATCATCTGACTGAATATTTTTGCTGGTCTATATATATGAAGGGAATTCTTGAGGAACTTGCTTATAATTCAAAGCCTCCAACAGCCCCACTTTTTGCTGTGCAATCACACAGAACTCAACACTTCAGTCTCCCTTAGTACGAAATCATTTGCCAGCACATCTCATCATCGTAATGAAACTGCAGGGCTGGAAGGGGCTATATGGATCATCAAGTCCAGCCCCTGTCAAGGGAGCACAGGGGGGAAATCAAACTCCCAACCTCTAGCTGTGCAGCCCAGATACCTAAAGCACTGAGCCATCCGGCGGTTATCTCCTCCTCCTCCTCCTCCTCTAGGAAATGCAAGGAATTCTTCAAATTACAATGTCCCCCACAGGTAATTGTGCACTCTCCATGACCCCAATTCCAGCATCTTGGAATTATTATCTATGGAGAGGGCCTGGCAAAGCTTTCTGTGATCTAGAGGCTCAGAATCTCTGCTGCAAATGGGGTCTGGGACTATCCTTATCACAGCAGCTTGGAGTAATTGTCCATAGGGAATGACTTGTTCCGTGGGCTCAGAATCACTATTCCTGGGGAGGGACAGTAGCTCCAGTGGCTCAAAAGACATAGCATACTTTTTGAAAGTCCTGCTTCTTTATGTCACATTTCTTCATGAACTTGCATCCTTCACTTGGCAGTCTTCTTCCCCACAGGCATTCTTCCAGGACAGCCAGCTCAGTTCTGTCCAGAAATGCTATTTTGACACTGATATGCTGAAGCACAGAGAGACAAGCTTCAAGCTACTGTCCATTCTCTTCTAGCATAGGCACTAGTTTGCACTTGCTGCAGGTGTAGCCTCCCACATCCTCAGGCAGGAAGCTACAGTAGGTCACCACAGCTGCTTCTTCCATGTCCATGTTTCTTAGCCTATGCAAACCCTGATACAGCTCTCCCAGTCTTCTCCGCAAACTCTCCCACTAAACACTCATAAAAAACATCTCTGTTTGCATAGTCATTTAGTATACTTTGCAAATTTGCTTGCTTTGTTTTGTGACTGGTCTACTGGAGCTGAACTTTTCAAGTCTCTGACAGGAAAGTCTGCCTGAATCATGTCTCTAGAGCATTAACATAATTTTAGTTCTAATGATGAGCTAATTGTAACATACAGTTTGGCTCATAGCTTCCACCACATGTATGACAATTTGTATGCCTCTGGCCAACTATTATAGCTGTGCCTCAACTACTTAAGGTAGTAATTGATTCATGCATTGATGACATTCAGATGATAAAATCAAAATATAACAAAACAAAGCTATCACAGGCAACAAGCTGCAAGCACAGTTGCGTGTCCATGTATAAGTGCAGCCAGAACTTGTGCAATAGATGTATGTGTAGCTGTCATAGGCATATCTTACATTATGCCACTCTTTTGTTATTAATTCATTCCTCCTTCTAGCTTGTTCTTGAAAATAGACTGTGAGATAACTCCATAAATTAAACAGATGTTAGGAAAACACAGTTGAGCAATGGAACAAGCTGCATATAGAAGCTGCTGCTAACAATACATTTGGACTGTAATGGCTGCTCACAGTCCAGTGGCCCCCAATATCCTTCTGGCTGCTATCCAGTATGCACTTCAACCAATGATAAGACAGGTATCTAATGGTTTACTTTAGAGAAAATTATTTCTTGTTGTTGCTTAGTCGTTTAGTCATGTCCGACTCTTCATGACCCCATGGACCAGAGCATGCCAGGCCCTCCTGTCTTCCACTCCCTCCCGGAGTTTGGTCAAATTCATGTTGGTAGCTTCAATGACACTGTCCAGCCATCTCATCCTCTGTCGTCCCCTTCTCCTCCTTTCCCAACATCAGGGGCTTTTCCAGGGAGTCTTCTCTTCTCAAGAGATGGCCGAAGTATTGGAACCTCAGCTTCAGGATCTGTCTTTCCAGTGACCACTCAGAGTTGATTTCTTTCAGAATGGATAGGTTTGTTCTCCTTGCAGTCCAGGGGACTCTCAAGAGTCTCCTCCAGCACCACAATTCAAAACCATCAATTCTTCAGTGGTCGGCCTTCTTTATGTTCCAGATCTCACTTCCATACATCACTACTGGAAAAACCATTGCTTTGTCTATGCGGACCTTTGTCACCAAGGTGATGTCTCTGCTTTTTAAGATGTTGTCTAGGTTTGTAATCGCTTTCCTCCCAAGAAGCAGGCTTCTTTTAATTTCATGGCTGCTGTCACCATCTGCAGTGATCATGGAGCCTCCATATCTTCCCCTTCGATTTGCGAGGAGGCGATGGGACCAGTGGCCATTATCTTAGTTGTTTTGATGTTGAGCTTCAAACCATTTTGCGCTCTCCTCTTTCACCCTCATTACGAGGTTCTTTAATTCCTCCTCACTTTTTGCCATCA